CGTGATTTGTATGGCCTCCTTGCATAATGATGACAGACGGGGGGGCTCGTTTTGCGACACGTGCGCAGACACGTGAGCGAATCGGCGGAGCGCGTTGGACTGTGACACGTCGGCGCTTGGCCCTTGGCCCTGGTACTACCACCCCTTGGGAATCCCTCTTCATCGTCCTGTTCTACATATCTCCTCGAACGTCTCTCTGACGAGTAGATACGCATCGATGAATGTATAGCCGCTATTATCGATGATAAGGATAACCTTTGTATCGTAGTTCGCGTCACTGTGAAAGTTATTTTCTGTGAGGTTTTAAATATAAAATAATTTCCAGACGCGGAAGATTCCGCAATCTGCGTTTGTAGAAATCTGCAAATTGTTAAATATCACGTTAGAAAAATTTAAATATTAATAACACACGGGAGAAAAAATTTATTGGCATGGCGTATTTTTTATGCCGTCGTGATAAACGACAAATATTAATCACCATATAACAGCCAAAAGTTAAATAAATCTTAAAATATAGTAAGAATTTGTCATTGCTTGTAATTGCAATTATTTATATGTAATTAAATAAAATTCACTCGTAGGCTTAGTAAAATCAGTTGCATGCTTAATAGTGCAAGAAAGTTTCATTATACTTTCGTAATGATTCAAACTTCGAAACCATGGCTAATTAACATTCGATAATCGCGGTAGAATTCGGTGGGATTTAATTAGATTTTTATTCTGCTGATGTATATACATGATATATATGTATAATAAGTGTGTAAGAATGCGGTCGGCTTGCTTCAGTTTGCACTTTCATTTTCTTACTTCGTGTAAACGAGGGTAATAGAAGAACACAAGGATACGCGAAAACCGGGGGTGCGAACCCCTAGGGACGGTTTGTCCCTGCAGGACTCCCGCGGGAGACATGGCAGTTCCTGGGGTACGGAGGCGGACTACACATCTGTCGAATCTCCCGGGAGGTATCCCGCAGAAGACGCGTAGGATACACGTATTACACGGAACGCCGATGTCTCCGTCGACGTCGTTACATCGCGCGTTACATTGCATGTGCTCGATTCTCTGGGTAGATTACACCCCATACTTTTTCCACATGGACAGTTAAAGGGAGTGGCGCGCAAAAATTCTCTGGAGAGAACAAAGCGCTTTTAATGACGTTAAATTATTCATTTTACAAAGTGTATCGGTAAAAAAAAGTTTGTTGACAAAATTGTGAGTCACTAAAGATGTGTAAATATAATGCATACTGAAAAGAAATGACATTAAATATTATAACTTCTTTTAAAAAAGGGTTTCAAAGAAAAACAAATGGGAAAAGAGAGAAATCAAATCGAATGCTTTCCTTTAAAAAACTTTTAAAAGAAAAATAAAAATGAAAGATAACTGACGGTCAATAGAGTAACGCGCGCGCGCGCGCGCGTTACACGAGGGATTTTTAACAAATTTTCTGGAAAAATCGGTTCTTTAAATTAAATAAGAAGGATCGTAAATCCTTCTGTTCTTGGGTCCTTGATCTTCAGATTCTTAATGAAATTCTTGTCAGCACTCCTACTCTAAATCTAAACGAAACCTCGTTACCGTTCGTGCGCAGCCGTAAACTGCGACATGGGACCATCACCGACTCTGTGCACACACTTAGCGGATGCACTTGCAACAAGCACCAGGGGTAGGAACTTGTGTATATACGTTGTGTACGCGAAACACATGGGGACATGCACGCGGCGGCATCGTTGGAGGCCCCAGCGGGGCTGTGTCGAGGATACGACGTGGAGAACGTCCGTCCTGATCCCCGGGGGGTCGCAGAAACACATCAAAATCGAATTCACCAGATGTCCAGGCCGATGCGAGTCGCAGATGCGTTTACGACCGGCGATTTGGGGAAAGAAAAGGATTCGACTCGCGCGCGCGCCACCTGAGCTCGTCCGCTCTTCAGCAAGGGCATCTTCCTCTAAGAGAGAAAAAAGAGAAAAGAAAGACGCAGAAGAATGTATTTGAAAAATTGATATCAATAGCCATGATAGTAATAAATTTAATTACTAGATTTAATTAACAATTATAACTTTAAAAATTAGAAGATTCGATAATTGCGAAATTTTTCAATTAAAGATATAAATTACTTTATGAATTGTTAATGTAAAGACATGTTAGATTTTTTAATTTATCGATTTTCTCGTTCTTTCTCTCTTTAGTCTATTTTAAATAATATACACTTTGTTAATTCATATATTTAAAAATTTTGAAAATATATTATTTAAAATATTTTTATAAGAAAGATTTAAAAACTAAAATTCAATTAACTCACATTTAAATTTAATTATCAATTCGATATCAATAAAGGTTTTTTTATCGTAATAAGAGAGAAGGCAGGATATAGACATTATTTAAAAAAAAAAATGTAAATCACGATGTGTAAAATAAGAAATGCTGTGGAATGTAAATGTCGTATTTAACGAAATTTCAACGGAATTTCAGCGATGGATTTGCAAGCGGGATATGGCGCCGTTGTTGTAATTCTGTTACGTCATCATATGCGGCGAGCGTGTACCTGCTTTTCGCTTTGAATTTTTTCGCTCACGTCATTCCGGTATTTAGCCGGATTGCCTTTTGAATAAGTCCAACGCGCTTTTTGACGCGCGAAAAAAGCGCACGCTGTGCGAACCAGCCGACGCGACGTAGGTACACACACATTTAGCGTGGCGTAACGTAATGCAGCGTAATGTGGCACAGTTGATTGGCGGCATATAAACGTGACAACTGCACGCGAAAGCTGCGCCCAAAAGCATATGCAAATATACGCAAGAAACCTGACACAATTTATAAACTACACGCCTCTCTCGAATATGAGAGAAGAATTGATTTCGGTTTAAAATGGAGAGTCATCGCAAAATTTCTCGGATCACCGCGATTATTATTTCTCTTCACGTGGATTTCATCTTTTCGAAACAAGCAAGTCATCTTTGCCATTTGATATCTACGAAATACTTTACCGCGTGACAACTAATAATTTCTTCGTCCTGTTTAAAGGTGCGATCCGCCGCGCGCTACTAACAGGTATGATAAACTGTCTTCGGTGACTTTCTCTGTTCCCCCGATACGTGTATCGAATCCACAGCGAAGTATCACGTCGCAGCTCATTAGGATAATGCTACTAAAATCGTCGTGATGACAGTGACACGCCGAATGACGTCTGTCATTGATTGTAATCTGCAAGGAAATCGAAGACGGTGACACGCGCCAGTAAAAAAACGTAAATGGTCACTTACCTTATTAACTTCCGTCGTCAGACGGTTTCTTGTAACCGTCTACCGTTATCTATATCTGATCGCTTACACAGATACGCTTTCTTAATTAGCATAAATCGAAGGATCTATCGCGTCAATAATGTTGCCAATCTTGATCGATTGATTGCGATCAATATTAACTGTTATTGGAGCGACAGACTTTAAACAAAAAAGATTAAGTCCATTAAATTTTACGAATAATTCGACTGTACGAATATTTTCGTAAGGACGAGTATTCGAAAATATATGATTAGATAATTATTAAATAATATTATTTAGCATTTCAATTTAATGTCTTAATCGTCTAATTTTTTTGTATCTCATGATTAAGATAGAATTAATTAATGAATGGACCATTTTTGCTAAACAAATAATGAATTATGTTTGCGCGATATATCATTAATTACACAGGTCAACAAGGTTTTGTTGTTGGGAAGCTGTGGGTCATTTCCGACGTAATTTTCTGCGTAGAATCCGAATCTGAAATCAGAATTGGCCTATCACGTCAGGATTTTGAGATATTTGAGGATATATACTCGAAAAATGCGTTTTTTTGCTATTTTCGAAGTTATGATCATTAGAGTTTTCCACGTCTAGTGAAGAAAGAAAAACCGATATTTGTCAATAAACAAACAACTTATTATTTTTTTTATACACACCTGCAAAATATCCTTTTTTATGCATTCAGGTGCTTCGTTTATCGAGCGAATTTCGAGCATCCTAAAACTTTCAGCGAGAAAGTTGTTCATTCGGATATGAACAAATGTTCTGGAAAGTTTCATTTTCATTGCATTAATAAGTTTAAAACTAATGATTTGTTTAAAGTTGGTAGACGCCTTGCACTCAGAGCCGCAGCGCACAAGACGCGCTGTCCGTTATTCAAGGTCCTAATATATAAACAGTCACAATTGTGACTGTTTGCTGTCTTAACAATGGCCCCGCGTAAGTGTTTAAATGATCCTAACAGTTTTTGTTATATTTAATATGTCAAATAATAAATATGCATTTTGGAACGAAAAAGACGGGAAAAACGGTTACGCAAGTGGGTTAAAATGCCCGTAACTTGGCGAAAAAAAATCGTAGGTAGTCGATCAATATCTCATTTTGAAGGGTAAGAATATTACTAAATGATGCAAATAGCACAAAAGACCCAAAAAATTGGTTGCGTCCTGTACATAACCTCTAAAGTAGCATAAAAACGCATTTTTCGAGTATATATCCCCTAATATCTCAAAATCCTGACGTGATGGGCCAATTCTGGTTTCAGATTCGGATTCTACGCAGAAAATTACTTCGGAAATGACCCACAGCTTCCCGACAACATCCAAGACCCCCTTTTTTGTAGACCTGTGTTATCATTAGTCAAATACTTTCCTCTGTCCTACACAATGTCATTCGCTCAGTCGAAGGAAAACTGTCACGCGTCGGTCAGAAGGAAATGAAATGCACAGCTCCGCATACGGAAATACGAGGTGGTTTATTATAATAATATTTATAATCGTTATGCGTCGCGGCGGCGCATCTCTTTCTTCGATCTGTCGCTTGATGTTGTTGCGTCAAAATATACATATATATTATGACTATATGTTGTGTCACAGTATACATATATATATATATTTTGTTTTACTTTCGGTGGCGTAAGTTCGTGGAGTAAGTCCAGCCGTCTTGCGCAAATCGGCACGCGCGCATTTCAGCAAAGAGAGAGAATAGAGTGTTTTCTGAGTGTTCCTCGTGTATTTACATCGATTTCGCCGCTCTTAACAGATACAAATTACACGTTTCCTATTTATATTTATACTTTAATGATAATATTAGTACAGCGCATGTCCAAGTGTGTGGATACGTGTATCCGTGTATCTGTTCGTATGCACGTATGACGTTGCGTGTAAAATGTGTACGTGTCTAGCGATCAGTGTACGCGTGTCATTATCAGGTGTACAACAGCAGATATCTACAGGGTGTCTCCAAAGTAACGTCGAGAAAAGAAAATAATAATCAACAGGGAGGGGTACAATATTACACGATAGGGACATCTTCGAATTTTATACACAATAATAATAATCAATAATTAATAATATTAATAATAATAATGAAAATAGTAACGTCGGCGTCGCGGCGCCGAGGTGCGTAATCAATAGCGATAATAAGCGTCGACCGTGCGTCGACGACGATAACTGTGAATCGAGGCGCGCGGACAAACGCTTCATATCTATATATCTTACACAAAGAGCGAGTCGATATTTCTCATGACTCGATCGCAATCGCGAAACGGAAAGAATGGAAAGGACAGGGACGAATAGAAACGGAAAAACTAGGAGTAGGAAGGAAAGCAACGAAGCGCTGAGCCTTCCGTCGCCCTCCGGACTCGAAATCGCTGCAGTCGCAGCCGCAGCAATCGTCGTCGTTGCCGTTGCTGTCGCCGTCGCCGTTCCTGGTTCTCGCTCTCGCTCTCGCGCTTCGGCGGCGCGTTCTCGCGATCCCGTTCAGTTTTAGGCGTGCGGGCGGAATTGTTATTATCATAAAAGGGACGTTAATTAAAACTCGTACTACCAGGCGAGCCCTTCGCTCTGCATCTGGTGCGGCTCCAGGAACCCGCCGCCCGCGACCCCGCCACCACTGCCACCGCCACCGCCACCCGGACCACCGCCGTTCCCGCCGCCGCCGCCGCTTGGATTACCCTGCCCTCCACCTGGGAACAAGCGAACGCGCACGGCGTCGATGCCAATTAAGATTTAAATCCCACAGCGCGTAGTGCAACGCGACGCGACGGACCCAGCCGGCGGCCGGAAGTCCCGTGAAAGTCGGCGAGACAATCCGCCGCCGGCAGTTTATAAATATTAACGCGATCTTCGAGAGCTGCACTACGCTTTATACATCTCATCGTTGTTGCATTTTTTAAATAAAAACGACTGCCACCGGCTCCTCTTTTTGTCTCATCTATTGCATGCATGCCATATTCGTCGTACAAAAACAGCAAATGAAAGTCTGGATTAGTTCTGAAATTAGTTTTTAAAAGTTTTTATATTATTCGATCATAGATAAATACAAATTATTTCTTAATTCACGAAATCGGATTCTTGAATGTATTAAAATTCTTGAAAGTCTTGAAAGTCTTGAATAATCATAAATATTTAAAATAATCCAAAACAATTTGATGTTGAATCTATCGATAGTTCTAAAACTCGAATATTTATAGATATGAGTAGTAAATGTCTATATGAACTTCCGGATATTGGTATGTAAATAATATATTTATTAGGCGATAAAATATAATTCGCAAGCAATTGAAATGTACTTACCAGTTAATTGCAAATTAAGTTGTTTAAACTGGAAGTTAACTGTAAACGTTTCAATTGAGGAAGACTCAAAATCCAAAGACGAAAACTTTGCAGTTAATTTCGTAGATGAGTAAACTCCAATTGTTTGTGAATTATATCTCATCGACTTATAAATATATTATTTACACAGCAATAACCGCGCAGGCTCATGTAGGCATCTTACTTATATTTGATTTATTCTTGGAGGCGTAAAATTATTTTTATTTTTATTTTAATCGAATATTACCGTTCTCAAGCAGAACAACAGGTTACGAAAACGGCAAAGTGACGTAAAAATGAATCATGAGTGATCGGAAAATGACTTTTAATAATTATTTTGAACCCATTTCGACGCCATTTTGATGTAATCATGACTTTTTGTTCTGCTTGGGATTATTTTTTTACAGGCATTTTATGTAACGTAACATTTTGCTGTCATATATTTTAACGAGTACGATAAAAGTACCAGTGTTTTGCGAAATTTTCAAAGTTGGTTTCAAGCTGCCAGAAACCACGTTAGTTACAACATTAAACGCTGCTTTATAAGTACTATGATTATTAATGCGACTATCACTAACTGCACTTTCCTCGACGAATTAATAACGCGCATATGTGTGACTTGATTGATACGCCGGTGACAGTCGGATAAGACGCATATGCGCGCATATCTGACGCGCGTTAGAAAATGTGAATTTCAATATTAGACGTATCGCAAAAGGTCACGCCAGGTGATTGCCAGATCTCAATTATCCATACGACAGGCTCAGAAGAAAATGACATTCACGCTGCTGTAGTGCAACTTTGTTGTAGAAAATCCTAGTCGACTAGAAATCTCTTTCGCGCGCGTGTCTTTCGTGCACGAAATAACATTGCGACGGTACGTGAATAATAAGCGCGATGCTGCACGATAAAAATGATACCGCGTGCGAAAGGTTAACAGCAACGTATAATTTTCATTTCAACGTGAAATGTTGAATAGCGTGAAACAGTTTCGATTCGATATCGCGAGACTAAAGCGTTCCTAATTAACACGACACGGCAACAAAGATGTGTATAATAAATCGTCACGAATATAATCGTCACGAAACAAGCAAAGTGAACATTATATAATCTCTTTCTCGACTACTGATTTGCGTACTATCGAAAATCAAATTGAGAAAAATAATGAAGACAGACATTAATATATATTTAAATAGTAAAAAATTGATATATTAAGATATTGATATTTAATTCAGAGGAAAAAAGTTACTCGACGTCTATAAAGAAATGACCCGTGCGGAATATTATTCTTTGGTGCGAGAAGCAGGTCGATCTCCTTCAAGCGCTTGCGAGTTAATGGTTGCCGCCGCATCGCGAAAACAACACTAATAAATCGGTGCGAGCGCAAACATAAAGTCCGCTCGCGGGCAGACCCAAGGTAGATCGGCGATCGCGATTCGACCGATTTTCGGTGGTAATGGTTCGGAGGGGATATTTCCCTCTCTCTCTCTCTCTCTCTCTTTCTTTCTTACCTGAAGGTGCCAGGAACTCTCCGGGGCTGCCGCCGGTGGGCGCAGGGGGCCCCTGCCCGGGGGGCCCCGTGAGAAATTCCGGAGGGCCGCCCCCCGCGCCCGGAGGTGGGTATTCCCCTGCCACCGCCACTGCGGCTGCCATGCCCGCTAAACTGGCCGGGTCCAAGCCTGTCAGAAACAGATTACGTACTGCTCTCAGAGGGGATCTCGTATCCGCTCGGCCATCTCCGAAACCGGCTGTCATAATTATCGCGGGGGCCTACCTACTTGATTCGAGGTTTATTATAATTACGCGAGATTCCGGGACTAGACTCTCCGGGCTTCGTCTTTCGTAGAGATCGGCCGTTTTTTACTTTAAGTTTTTGTGATCGAAACAAAAGCCACATGATTAATAAAATAGTAGAATTCTATGCAGAAATTCGATTTTAGAAGACACAAAAAATTGATGAAATATTTACGTAACAAAAGATCTTCGATATTTTCGAAGTTTTCGCGTCAATTCTAGTTTCGCATTTTTCTGTCTTAAACGCAAGACTAGAATTTATTTTATCTTTAATATAAAAGGTGCTAAATCATCGGTGACGGCAGGAGATTCACCTGGATTTCCCGTACCGGCAAAATGCGGTCCGTGCGGATGCGGGGGCGGATGCGCGCCGAAGAACTCGTGATGGAAGGCCACCGGGCCGCCGTAGCCGAATTCGAACTTATCCGGGCCAAAATACGGGAAACCGGGTGGTGGTCCATCCTCGCCTCCGAGGGCGCCTGGGTTCAGATTCAGCGGGAACCCGCGCATCTTGCGCGAGCCCCCGAAGAAGGGGTTCCTGCCCATCGACGTCAGTTGCTTCAGCCTGCGCTCCTTGCTCCTCTTGTTCTGGAACCAGACCTGAAACCAGCGAGCCGCCTCTTTAATCGCTGAATTATTTAACGATGGTCTCCCTTTCCTTCGCTGCCTTTTGATTTTGAGCACGGTTGTCTTACAATATAAATTGCTCTAAGAATGGATATTAGAGTATGAGAAGTTTTTAAAAAAATGTAAAAAATTATACTCATCATCAGTATCTCTTTATTGTTTTCCGTTTCTTATATTTCATCACTGTTATATAAAACTATAGAGGCAGTGTTTTAAAAGAATGTGGGTCTTAGAATATGCGATTCTTAGTCCACTTTATTTTAAGATTCTTTTACATTCTCTCTAAGACATGAGAAGATCATGGTAAACAATTTTTTTTATCGATGATACATTGTGAATTAACCGACGATTCTGTCGCAAAATTATTTCTTGGTAAATATGATGACGTGCCGAGTGAATTATTCTGCGGCAAGTGGTTTGTCGACGCGGTTTTTTTCCTACTTGTTTGTGATGGCGAAGGATTTCTGAGCGTTGCATCGCTCTTAACAGCGATTTAGATGCCAGCCGCATAAAAGCATCACCGATAGCACGAATCGCGATTCACTTCGATATAAATAGCAATTCTCTTCATAAGCTAGAGAATTGAATGCCTGAGTAGCAAATCTCGTAACAAAAATTGATAGTGAGAAGAAAAGTAAATTATTATTCTTACTACATTAAAATATAATTATTATTTATTTATTATTATTCAATTATCGACTTCATCTTAATTAAAGATTTTTTTAAGATTTGTAAAAGTGTAACAAAAAAAAAGTGTAATAAAACTTCTTTAAATATAATAAAACTATTCTCTTCATTTGGTGAGTTTTAACAAAACGCAGATTTTCTTTGTTTAGTTATCAAAGTGTTTAGTTAAATAATAGCGCGATCAACTTCGCAAAGAAACTTTTCACAAAGAGAAAATAAGTAGATACAATGATAGAGAGAACGAGAGAAATTTTAACGCGAATGTGACGAGAGAGACACCTTTCTCACCTGTATGACTCTCATGGGTAGGCCGGTTTCTTTCGCCAATTGCTCCCTGATGTGCCTGGTGGGCTTTGGAGTCGACGAGAAGGCCGTCTTCAAGATCTCCAATTGTTTCGCCTTTATAGTGGTCCGTGGGCCGCGTCGCTTCGAGCCGGCACCGCCGTCGCCGCTGCCACCACCGGCGCCGCCGTCCGGGCTCTTGTTCTCCGTCTGACTGTCCCTCGTCTCGGGATCGCCGTCCAGGGAACCTTCAACCGATCGAAGCCGAGCTGCCACGTCACAATCGTATGATCACCTGGGGCCTATCTCGCGCGAAACTCGCTAACGATTGCCAGCGAAATCAGCCGCTACGAGAAGTTCGTGTCTTTCGCGATAGCGAGTTTCATGTCTGCCCGCTTTAAATACAATGGCAGGGAACCTAATTCTCGAGAAGATAGGGACATGGACTTTTCTGGGATGACTCGTTCGCTTTCTGTTTCCCGAAATTCCTGAGTTGAGTTGCACTGGCAGCCAGAATTAATAAGTACGTAAAGTACAATTTGTTCTCTTCTAAATTATAGTTTTACCTGCGTTATATAAATAGGATAATAGATATAATTTATTCTGCAAAATGAAAGTAAAAATAAATCGCCCGATAATCATTAGACCTAAATTTCTAAAATTAAAGAACCATTATTTTTTGATCAAAATAATGGTTCCTTTAATTCTGTATCCTCAAACCCTCATTTTTAACAAAAACGAAGCTGTCATTCACATACGATTTATAGAGACAAGTTGTAAAGGTATCGGCATCTCTGAAAAAAAAAAGGCTGACACAATATTTTCAGTGTTACGCCGCGTTTGTTATTACTCAGTCGTCGAAAGCCGAGGGATAGTCAGTTTCTTAATCCCGAACTATGCGTATCCGCTGACGCGTGACTCGTCGGTAACCCAGAAATGACTTGTCATCTTCAGGACACAAGTCATCATTGCGTTACGGGAGTTTCTAAATGACGCCCGTCGAGTTGCGATCTCTCGTACCGCAATGCTAAAGTTCAATTTTTTAAAAAACGTATTGTCGATCAAGAAGATCAGAAGCCTATCACGCACAACTAACGGGTGTCTCGATATGAATATTAAACGGTCTCAATAATGTGTGTGTGTGTGTGTGTGTGTATGTAATGATGATTATTTTTAATATTAAAAGATTTTAACAAGTTTCAACATGCGACGATATTACTAATTTTTTTACAACTTTTATCTAACACATAATTCATAATCGATTTAATTTCTATTTGATTTAAATTTAAAAAATGTCAACATTAATGGAAGCCAACGGACATTTCAAGGACTTCAGCGCGGACGATGGCTTCCCGACAAACGCGCACGGAGGGATAATCGACTGTAGATTTGTTGAGGTAATCGTAGCTGAGAGGCCACGCGGTAGGTCTGGGACACCCCGTGTATCCCGGTATCTTCATCGGTCGGATCGAGGTAACAACAATCGGAGCCAATCCCCCGGAAGCGATGCGAAACCCCCATCGGATTATCGTGGCTGCTGCCGCGCGCGCACGTTGAAAGCCGTACCCCGCACATACGCGTGCACATCGAATAGTGCCACCATACACGCACACACATGCATATATAAGTCCCCGGCTCTCCACGGTAATCTATACATTATACGTATATGTGTATACCGGGTAGGTCTTAACCGCGGGACAAAGAAAATGTTTGGACAGTGTCACCGCACTACTAGGGCCACCCCTCGTGAAGACGTCCGTTCCCTCCTTACCGCCCCGATCGTGGGCAACGAGGCTCTTGTATTGCGTAGTTGTATGAGACTCGTGCGAGGGTGAAGCTAGTTGGTGTATGGCTAAAGGACCGATTGTTGTGCGCGCGATAAAAGAGCAGGAGCGATATAATGGACTCGAGACAGCTCCTGGCGAAGCCCTCAGCGATTTGTGACGTCGCGATGCCGCGAATTCGTACTCGCAAGGTCTCCAAGGGTGACATGGTGACGCGTAGCTCCGAGGGTAGCCCGATCAAGTCGCTAATCGATTGCTCTTGATCGCGTACTGTAGAGTAACTTACGGCGTGTGAATATGATCTTATAGTTAGCTTGCAGTTTGCTAATACGTAAGTACACGTATGTATTTGATACATACGGAATGTCTAATCACTGTAATCGAGATGACAGCTTAGATATTTCACGCATGCACTTTGCCCTTTACGCTTGGCTGCGCGATATTGACTTTCGTTTACGATCCTTCATTACTTTTCTTTTTGCGAGATTTATCTTTCGTCTTTTGCGTTTGACGTAATAAAGACGTTTTCTTGTTTTACTCAGAGACAGTCAATGCTACGTAAAACTGTCTAGATCGTAAAAATATGTATCTCCATTTTGCAATATTTATATTTTATATCGCTTACACACATCGCTTATAAATGCGATTAAAGAGATTAAAGAGAACTTTCCAAGCTATTCACAAAGAAATATTTATAGCGCCTATCGGGTAATCAAAAAAGAATCTATTCTTTTTCAAAAAAACTAATAGAATTTTATTTTATATATACTTATTAAAGTAATAGAATTTTCTCTAAAAGGTTTCTGGCTCATGAGAATAATCGATTTAACTTAATACAAGGCTGATTTTTTTACACTTGCGCACACTATTCTACCATCAAATAATTCTCATAAATAATATTTTTTTCAAAGAGAAAATTGCATGAAAGAAAACCTCTTTATTACGCAACATGTCGCTATCGCTGTTAGATATCTCATTGCCTTATCTTCAGCAAGTAAGCTAGGACTTACCTTGATCCTCGGAGTCCTCCTGCTTGCAGGGATCGCTGCCGAGAGGTAGTTCGCCACCGTGGCCAACGGTCTGGTCACCAGTACTACCCGGGCCAATGTTGTGGGTCCCGAGGTGAGCACCACGTACGGCCGAATCGTGATGGTGATGGTGAGCACTACCGTCCTCGTCCTCGTCTTCCGAAGTCTCCGCCTGCCGACAGGTTGGACGGTTCTGCTCGTGAACGACGCGAGACACCGGCCTTTTTAATAACATCGACCAACAAACTGCCGATTTCGAAAATAACGATTGCGACAGTTTCTACTCGTGTATCGTCGCAGCTCGCTCGCTTGCACAGAAGTGTAACGAAATACCTCAATTGCCATCAACAAGATTCTTCAAGCGATAGGTTTATTCACGTTGCTTGAAATCTTCAAAAATTTTGCACTTAAAACGAGATAAAAATATATTCGTTGAGAAGAGAGAAAGCGAAGATGCTGAATGTAAAAAATGCAAGCAACGCGAACAGACTTCATCAGGGTTGCCACAAATTTCTCATGTTAAAATTTCATTACTTTTCCATGATTTTCCTGACCAGTTTCAATTTCCTTGACATTTTCCTGATTTCCCTGATTTTCAATTTTGTTGCAATCCTGCTAATGATAATAAGTCTCTGATGAATGAAGTTTCTGAAGTTATATATTGTATAATTATATAATATATAAAAAAACTTAAAAACTCTTGCAAGATGATAAAAAAATTTGAATTATTTGCTAATCGGAAAATGTTTTTTTATCGCTTCTGTGCAATTGCAAAATTTCGAAATCAGCGGTTGAATTTTTAACGAACATGCAGAAATAAATTATAAATTGTCATGGTATGGATATTATTAATATTCAAGTAAGTAGTTTTATTTAAGTAATTTTTAATTAATGTTCTGTTAAAATTTTCGCTTGAAAGAAGAAAGATCACACCGACGATGATCAATCTGTACGAAATGGAAAAAAGAATCGATTGTCCTTCGATATTACGATCGATATTAACATTTACGTATCATACATTTGTGAGTAGCATGATTAAAAATGAGTTACTTGCATATCGATGCAATTGTTCTGTGATTTATCAAGAGATAATAATTGCATTTTATTGACAGAAAGTGTAATAATAATATTTAACGTCACAATAAATTAATACTCTGTATTCGAAAACTATAAGAAACGCGTTCAAACAATTACATATTTCTTTTCGGGCGTAATTTAATTGCAGCTATCTCAATTGTAAAGTACGTGCGAGCGGCAAGTAGCGCTTTGAAAGTCGGCTTTTGCCTTCCAGATTTAATTGCGGCGTTGCGCACGAAATATTCCCGACGCAATATATTTTACGACGGGAACCGCCGAAAAAATGGTGTCTCCGGATATTAATCGTCTCTACGAGCATAATTACCGTGCTCTCGTCTCGCGCCACCGAGAGAGAGAGAACGATGGCCGCGGATTCGACAACCGGCAAATGGCCGAGCGGATGGCAGAGATTAATGTTGAAAAAGTGTCGGGCATCAAGACGGTCATGTCGCTTAATCATCGGCCCGAAATCATCCTGAAGGCTCGCGTCAACATTCTGCCCCCAGTTGCGCGTCGAATTCGTTCTCCACGCGATGAAGATTTCGAACAGTCCTCCATACCTGCCTCTATTGTTCTCGCCAGTTATCAATAATCAGTAATTGAGGACGGTGGTAAAAAATAATCGGTGGTGTTCGTAAAGACGGTAAAATAGATACGAAAGACATTTATATATTAATAATCTAATGTGCATACGATTCGAATAAATATAAATCTATTTATAAATGTATTTGCATAGATCACGCTAAGAAAACATCTTATTTTACAGTTATTTTTCAGTAATATTAATACTTTTGTTATTTATACATAAGTAATAACTTTTAATTGTTACTTTATTTTCGCTTCGATTTTTACTGCATTCTCGTTTCTACCTATTGGCTAATCCTTTTCTGCGAAATCTGGCTGTAAAACGTCGGAACCGATCCGAAAAATCATAGAATCCTTCCGCGAAGGCAGCTTCTCGGAGTTGACATTTGACGTGGCTTACGTATTCGTTCCTGCATCCGCAGGTATGCGCCCCAGGATCCCTCGTAACGCCGACAACACGTCAACGGTGATGACGATGATGCTTCACGCGAAACTCATCGACAGCGAATCGGCGGGCCAAATCGGCCGCGGTTGAGGCGTAAATCATTTCGCGGCGCTCTCCCGCGCTCGGCGGCTGTCCCACGACATTGTCTCACGTACAGCGAACACACAACGGGGTCCGTCGGGCCTCCGAGATCCTCGGGAGAAAAAGGCGGCCGGGCAAAGAGAGAGAAGAAAACGGGTTGTCGGTGCGTTTTGCGGTTTCGGCAACGTCGGCAACGGAACGACAAAAGGTTCGCCCCCTGCCTAACGACCTTTCGGTTTTCGTTTCACGGCTTATATACGAGTGGGGCCCTCGTGAAACCGAGCTGGTCTTGCCGTCTCTCTCGTGCTATCGTTTTCATTTCTCTCTATCTCCCTTCTCGGCCGGTGGTTCACGGTGGCATACGCGCCACGCTGTTTTCACAGCTTGCCGCTCTTTCTCTCTCTCTCTCTCTCTCTCTCTTATTCGGGGTAGAAACTCCCGTGAAAAACCTGCTCTCTCCGCCCCTCTTGCCCCGTCGGTCCCACCCTTCTTTTTTTAAACTGATCCTGACTCCGTGAAATCCGTGGCGGCGTGCGCGTTGAACTGTGACCCCCTCGACCTCGCCGCTCGAAAAAATAAATCCCGAAATTCTGAGCCACTCGAGAAATGGGTCCCGTCGGTCTTTGTAGGAATGCTCGAATTTAAAGGGATATCAATGCCTCGTATTTATATGATATTAACACGTACCGTGTATAACAAATATATCGAAACTTTTGAATATTGACTGCGTTCGCAGCAGAAAAAGCAGCTTAGCAACTGTTATAAAATCCGTTAATGTAATTGGTTCTTGTTCTTAATTTCTCACTGGATCTAAATGTATAAACCAATCATATTAAAAAACTTTATAACAGAGCTGCTTTTTCTGTTGAACGCAACACTCTCTCTGAAATTCTTCATATTTTGTTTTAGAGAAAGCATCCAAGTAGTTCTGTAACACGCGCGGATATTCCTTCTGCTTCAATCGGCATCGAAGCATCGGCAGATCGGTTTTCCGGTTCTTCGATAAAACTCCGACAGAACGTCGAAGATCAGAACGGGCTGCTGCTTGACTTCAGGATCGGCGAAGCGGCGAGCTCGCGCGATAATTTATGATCTCCTCTCTTTCTCGCGAGCGGCGGATAAAATTATTTATTGGCGGCGGTAACGAAAACGACGGAGGCGATCGTAAAACGCGCTCGTACGAGATCGAACGAGAGACCCGAGAGAAGACAGGGGGTCGAGCGAGGAGGAGCTGTCGCGATAATACACCCCTCTCTGGACAGCGGCGCCGCGTTCCGGTGACAGCGGTGCGGAGATCGATATAATGGAAGGCGATTGTGCGTTGACTTTGTTTGCACACCGAGTCGAGCGTGTGCCAAACGCGATTTCGCGCGAATTTTCGAGCCGCGATCGATCGCCGCGTGCCGCTGACAGCCACGTGCCACGTCGAAATCGCGGCGTAACAGCTCGCACGACGTATTTAGGCCGTGCCGTTGAAGACCGAAACTTTAATATGCAGCCTTTAATACGTTTCTAAAATATTCGCTTTTTTAAATTAATTGTATTTTATTAATAAGAAAAGAGATTTCGTTAGGAAAATTTTTCTTTCGAATAACTTTGACATCTCAGAGTAATCAATAGTACGATTATTACTTAAGCAGTATGGAGGAAATATTAGGAATAGGATCAATGAATACATCAGAAATATTCCGGTATAACTAATTTCTGATAGATTAAAATGTTAATACTTATTTTTATTCCTTTAATATTTCCTCCATTGTGCGCAGGACCTAAGTCTTCAACTTATCTTTTTACAATTTTATAATATTAATTAATTTTTTAGTAGCATTAATCCTCTGCCGATGATGTTGAACTTTAAAGGCGCAGTCGACTTTTTATGTATTCTAGTTAATAAATTTAAATCTATAAAAAATAACTAAAATACAATTCAAAAAAGACTTCCGTTATGGCAAACTCATTGTTAAAGCTTTCACAAGTAAGAAGTTTTTCAAATTTTTATACAGTCCGGAAGAATATAAAAATCTGCACTAAAATTCAAATATCCAAGTCGCGGATGAAGAGTGAAAATTTCACATTGCTAAGTTCGATTTGTTAAAACATCGATATTAATAAATATCCATACCAGATAATATCTGTATCTGATATAAAAAAATACAAGGTTATGTTAATACGTGTGTATGACATGTATATCCAACTTAAAAAAATAAATAAAATGATATAATTGTCAAACTTTAACGTATACATAAAAGCTGAATCTCTAAAATATCGCGATCATATTATCGAACATCAGCGATTAAAAGCAGCACGAGATTAGTCTGGATATCGATTCATAACAGATAAGTATAGACAAACACGGAGACCACGGAGACCACGTGGATTCTCAGGATATCGTTTAAATTTAAATCCCACGACGAATCGATCTGTAAACGGAGCGGACAGTGTACACAGACGAACTGTGATACTCCAAAGTGCCTCCTCTTCGTGGACTAACTTTACTTTCTCGATTCTGTTTGCTATTTCGATCGTAGAATTATTTATTAACTCCACCATGGATAATAGAAGAATCTAATTATTTGACGTAGCTGCAATTTAATTTCCTGCACGAATTACACGCGAATTTATTATGCAAAAATTAACTTCATTTCGTCGCTTTTTTGTCACGGGATTTAAACATGTATAAATAAGTGAGATAATATGATCGTGTCGAGATAATATTGTTATGCGAGATGACTGAAGATAATAACGAGGGGTAGTTTTGGCTCACCGTGATGACCGTGCACGTGATGCGTGTCCGGCAACGGTTTGCCCGACAGGTAGTCTTGCTTGCAAACGAACTTGTTGTCGTCCAAGACGTAGAGCTCCTCGCCCGTGCTCATCTGTTTCCGACACACCAGGCAGGTGAAGCAATTCAGGTGGAAAACTTTGTCCCTCGCTTTCCTCACAAGGTCCTGTGGGTTTATCCCTTGGAGGCAGCCGCCGCACTTGGTGCCGTATCGCCTAGAAGGGCATAATACAGATTTATTGCTAGTGTACTGATGAAAAGACGGATAATGAGCGCGTGGGTATCCGAAGTGTCGAAGAGCTTGTTCCTGCGCCATAAAGAGATATAAATTTCTATTGAAAAAAGTGTATCTTGATTTTCTTAAAATCTAAATATAAAAAGATATTAACGATGCTATATTGAATTACAAACTAAAACCATGAGACTAAAACATCCTTTGTCCAGTGTCAGCTGCGAGTTTACGTCACGATGGAATTTCCGCGGGGGAGGAAAATTTCCGTATTTCTAAACTATAGCTAGACTACAGATAATCCTATTTAATTTTCCAATTTTTTTTCAGAACTTGTCGATGTTTCAGCGAGGACGCCTAGCGAAATTGTTAAGAAAGGTTAGTATTAAACATAAAAGATATCGAGGGAAGTTAATCATAAGTCCTCCGATTTTGCGATTTTTCGCACTTTCTTTCTTTTTCGCGAAGACATGCTCTATCCCGCGACATTGTAATTTCGTCATGGCGAGTTAACACGAACCCCTAATCATTAAACCACAAGTATCGCCACGCAACGTGTTATTATCACACGTACGACGCGGCTGTCGATGATTTTTCTCAAAGGTGCCATGGATCATATTTCTCAGCTCGATAACAGACTTCTCACGGAAAATAGCGAGGCGCGATCTTTTTTAATCTGCAATTTACTCCGCGAAATTCCAAAGTGTTGTACACCGAAATTATTTGACGACTGCAAGAAGGGTTGACGCACGCCGCGTTCAATAAACGCCTTCGATTGTCCGAGTTGACTGTAGAAGTCATAGAATGTGAAAGTTACAAGTTCTGTTTGTAACTCAGTCGGACCGCAACGTCGATGAAAGAAATACAGTGCTTTTAAAGAGATGGCGGTTTAATGTTCCGATCCGGCATAAAAAGTCGAGGCCCTACCGTGTCGTAAAAACGCACCGCCGCTCCGCCCGATATTTTTTTCTTTCTCGCCGAATCGTTAAGCGCCTTGCTTTTTTCAGACGCTTTACCGATCTCTCATTAAACGTTCTTCTACTTCGTCGTTGCGTCATTGAAAACTAATCATGCTAGTGCTGTCATAATTGTAAAATGTAATCTTTCAAAGAAATTGCAAAATTATTATGTTATAAATTAAGGGAACATATTGAAGAATTATAAAAGATTGAGGAAACATAATGTAGAATTATATAAAGATTAATTAACGAAATTAAACTAATAAAGAAATCGTAGAAATAAATTTTGAAAATTATAAAAATATTGAATTATAGAATACTAAACAGTATTTATGTCTATACACGTGTGCAAAATAAAAATTAGTGAAATTATATAATTATTAAAAATATAATAACTGTATATAAAATATTGAAATTATAGGAGAGAGAGATTACAAGAAATAATAAAAAGAATAGAAAGGATAGGAAGAATGGTCAGATTTTGCAACTTTTCCGGTTGACGCGTTTCTCAATCGAGCCGGAACAATCGTCAAGCCAATATAGGTATCTTTGTGACTGTATCATTATAGTGGCAGAAGCTACACTCTTCTAACTGGCAATCCGGATCGATCTAACTATAGCAATCACGCAATTAATTATAGCAATTAGCTGGAGCCCTTAGGGCTGGCGTGTTCCGAGGAGCGGACGTCTCAATCGATCCCCCTTCCTCATCCCGTCGTCGTTACGCCAACAATAAACAAGTTAAACGCGGATGGCAGATCGTCGGAGAGATCACGAAATCGGTCGCTTATTAGCAATTCGGTAGGACGATACTTATCGACCTGCCTTTCAATACTTTGTAATCTACGCCATTAGCAGCATCAATCAAAGGTGTTGAGATTGAAAAGTTAATAAGAGTTAAGTATTATTTTGCGAATATAAAAATCGAAATCCTCTTCTAAATTTTTTTATTCATATTCTCACCTTTTTTACTACTGCAATTTACTTTTACATATTGCATATGTTATATGTTTATTTAACTGTAAAATATATATTTTTTTATTTATACTTGTGAGTCTGATTTTAAACTCATAGTCTTTTGTTAATTTAATTTAATGTCTACTCCACAAATGGCTACTGAAATTTTAACGCTATCAATTGCTCATACAATCGCTAGTTTACAAACGTTAAAGTGTATCTAAAAAAAGGAAACAAAGGGACAAAGTGTAAAACAGTTTATTAATCGCAATTTTTTTTAACTTGAATTTCTCATTCAACAATGTTATTATCGCGCAATCGACCATAAAAAGTACGTACTACTCGTAAAGCATGTAGAAATAGGAGGCGCAACGGGGAGCCGTGACCCGGACGCTGCTTAAGAGTCATTGTTAGCCTAATTGTTCTCGGTGTACCTGACGGTCGCGGCGCGTTCGCGTCTAGGCGCAGTGTGCATCGACGTTTGAGCGCACAATAAATCCCGTGGAATCTCCTTTTATTGACTGCTGCCGGGTGCCGTATCAAGCGACCCAATTCGCCGCGCTTTATTACCAAGTGGACGCGTGACGTCCGACGGGAATGCAAGTGCGGGGCGTCTCGCGACGCGTCGCCGCGCTGTCGAGAGAAGAAAAAAAAGAGGAAGAAACGATCGTAAACGTGCGACGATGTTACATTTACATTCCGTATTTACGTGCGACGTCGTTAATCGATATTAATTAATTCATGAATTGCGTGAATTATTAATGCTCTGTGAACCTCCCCGCTAATTGCTAAGCGGTCCACCTCTAATCCTCGAACGTATTATTCATAATATTTTCGGACTCGTCCGAAAGTCGCAATACACGTATGATTTAAATTATTGTAATAAGGTCCAGTTTTTCATTTTCTGATAAACTTATGGTTAGGTACTTAACCTGATGGTAATATAAAAATTATAATTTTTTATAGTTAATCACTGAACTGATGGTTTTGTAGTGTAGAATAACTTTTGAAATTATCACTATGAAACCATCAGTTTGGTAATCACAAATAAAAAACATACATTTTTACATATTATCATTATACATATCTTAAGTGAAATTAAGTTAATCAGATAATAAATCATAAGTTAACCAGAAAATTAAAAACTAGACTTAATGTCCGAATTAGAAAAAGATGAGTAAGTTGAACCCAGATTAAAGTTAATTTACATTGATAGAAACGAGTATAAGAAGACTTTCATCTCGCATAGAGTAAGAAAGGGAATGTAGCACGGATGAATAGAAAAAATAAAAATTTCATAACTCATCGCACACAGTAAGTTCTAATAAACGATGCGAGAATCACATTTTGTGTGTGACATATTGAAAGTGCATCGGATAATTAATTTGCCTTTAATGGAAATTAAATATTTCAGTTAATAGAGGCGGGAACGCGCTATATGATGCAAACGACAAATTGAACTACGTTCACTAAACGAATAAATTATTAGAACATTTTGTTAACGTTGAATTGTAATAGCTAAATAAACGCCTTTCATCACGAGGGTATCTCGTTCTTTTTAAATTCATTTTTCGCGTGTTACGTTTGCCATCTTGATGAATTTTTCTCGGGATTCATTTCGATATTAATTATCATCGCATTGCCGCGTCTCGCGCGAATCCGTAATTCGACACTATCGCCATTTAACAGACGGATAGATCTCAAATATGCGTGAAGCCATTGATGAATCGGCAATTATTCATCGTGTTCGTCGCACCCAAGAACTTGACGCAACGCGTAGCTTCTTTCTCTAATCCGCTTCGCATACCGCGAGCGTTTCTGTGAGGTTTCCCACCGCAGCCTTTAACCGCCTCTGAAATATTTTACGTCCCGTGGTTGACGTGCATTTCGCGAAAAGGAAGAATGAGAATGAAAAAGAAAGAGCGAGAGAAAGAGACAAAGAGATGGAGAAAGAGAGAAAGTCAAGCACGGAAAATGCGCCGTGTATCTCAAAGAGATACAGCTCTCTTTCTCTTGTTTAGGTGGAGCCCGGTTGCTCGCGCATAGCCGGTGAATATCAAAGGTTGCTGCACGTGTCTGCAGCAACATTGTGTTCCGTATTGCGCCGCGACTTGCCTACGTCGGGACTTCATCGTCCATCGTGCTCGAGCACTCCAACTCTCTCCTCTCGTAGGCAAGATGGATATCTCTCGTAAAAGTACGCATTGAACGCTGATCGAGATTATCTCTCATAAGGACGCATATGTACAAATGGAACAATAAGTAGATCTGGGAAAGCGTCGCTTTGATTACCGCCTTAAGCTTCTTTATTTATAATCTAAAGAATATATTAATCATAAATGAAAAAGAAAATCATAGTGAGAAAAATACTTGCTCTTTCTCTTTCTCTTATAAAGTAAGAAAAGAATTATTATTTAAAAATTGCGTCAGGCAGCTGTGAACAATAACAAAATGTAAAACAAAAAGCTGCAAGTGCCTTATCGGTGCACACACGCTAATGTCTTACGATCTATTTTACGGCGCAAATGCCTTACAACCCACATCCTTTTGCAGGAAACAGCGGTACGCAAAAAGTCGCTGATTATCGTCAGTATTGCATAATATTTTTTCGCGGCAAACGTTTCGCGACCCGCATTTGCGTTTGGACCAGTCATCGCGATATCGAGTGAACGACGAGCGTCATTCATCAACATATAAATGCTATCATTCAATTAGAAATGCTAAGTATTTCTTTGAATACTTTTGGCATCGATATTCTGACCATGATAATTAGGAAACGTGAAACAATACCATTGAAAATTCGAATGTATGATATATCCAGTGTTGGTTCACATCATTGACACTGAATTTAAACGATCAATGCTCGGTTTTAAAAAGTTTCTCTTGTCTAAATTCCTATTTAAGTAAAGTTCCTGCTTTAAAAAATTCTTTTAATTAGAAAAATCATGCATTACAAAATTATAAATTATTATTATTATATCCACATCTCGCTGCAAATTTATTGGCGAATTCTTTCACAAACTAACCTCGCGATCGATCGTGATCCGTCGATAGCGATCCCGTTCGGATC